CTACGAAAATTTAAGTTTTTTCAATATTTATGAAACTAAACTAACATAAATACAATTTAATCTATTAACATTCAACATTATTAAATTGTTAATTTAAACTGTTGAATATACAAATATAAACGGTTTTAATGAATAATTTAAAACCGGCGCTTCTCGTTCAAAGTAAAAAAGAGAAAATGACATGGAAAGTGTGTATCAAAGCAGTAATAATAATAATAATAGTTAATTATATACAATATTTTGCATATCCTTACATAAATATGGACTTGAGATATGTTGGGACATCATAAACAAAATTAACAAACAACTTTATGTGCAACACATGACAAGAGTTGCGCAACGCATAACACAAATAGAGGATATTGATGTTAGAAAATCAAAACTCTATGACAAGTGTATGATCTGCATCAGTCAGAGAGTTAACATTTTAATGACAGCTATCACCATGTGTCAAAGCTAGGAACTAGTAAATAAACTATAATCAATTGGATGCAAACAAATAGCAAAAAGGTTGAGAAACTCCGATTTATGTATAAATGGTTTTCAAATTTGTATTTCTTTACATTTTCCACACAAAGTTTGAAGTGATAATACAATTATAGTGAATACATAATATTATTGGTATATTTTTTGGTTAATAGTATGCAATATGTTTACTTTAGAAGTCTGTTTGGATAATTCCAACAAGTATTGAGGAAATTCAATAATATTTAATTGGTATTTCGATTTATTGATAAACCAATTAGAACTAGATCAGTCCAGTTAAACGCGCAATCTTTGCCAAGGATCTGGATTTGAAGGTTTCTGTTTGAAACTAAAACAAATAACAAAAAAAAGAGCCTTACAATCGGTTTAGGCGAAACAGTACACGAAATTTAATAAAAAAAAAACAGAAACACGAATACATATATCTTTAGATAAGAGTGTCAACAAAATTCTTTCGATACGAAACAAAATAAATAAATATTCGTGCAATTTGATAAAAAGGTACAAAAATATACAACACTCCAGTTATCAGAAACAGGCACACTTATCGTTTGACACACGCTCTCTCTACTCTCCTAAAGCGACGAAAATAAAATTGAAAAAAATAAAATAAAAATAAATCAGATGGAAATATATAAACAACGAGCATATCTAATTTATCTGCCGCGCTCATTATCTAATCCGAATGTAATTATAATGGCCTTTGATTATTTTCATCCCACATGAATTTTGTATGTATATCAGTAATCAAAATGTGTGCGAGAGTCGTGCACTATTTTCATATCGGAATTAACAAAAAGTTAAATTGTGTTAAGGATTCTTAATGGTATAGTATTGAATTAGCAGATAATTTCAAACAATTAAGTTATAATAAAAACTAATTGTAGAAAGAATAGAAGATTATTGTTGATGCATTCATATAACAAACCGCGAAGCACGTTGCTTAACTTTTAATAATTTTATGTAAATTACATAATCCAACTGCGAGTGTAATAAACTATCTGTTTTATCTGATAGTTGTTGTTTTGTTGAGAGAGCAAAGTATTAGTATTCCAAAGTAATTAAATACACGTGTTTATGTGTAATCGTACGCAACTCACCTGAGCGCTTGCGCTCAAACCAAACATTACTATTTAAATATCTGCGCCACGTGGGAAACAAAACAACAATTCCTTTCGAATAAATGAATTCCAGTTCCGACTAACATTGCTAAATGATATAGGAATAACATGAAAAACAAACAGAAAATTATGGTTTAATGCAAAGCTGTGAAAGGTGATTAATTTCATGTTCGATTTACGAAACGCACTTTGAGCTCTCTCTTTTTCGTTTTATTTGTGGTTCTTCAGTGTGTGTAGAACATCGTTTTCTTTTCCTTTTTTGTTTGGATTTGTTGTTGAAGCTTCGCAGATAACGAGGTTCGATGCGAGTGAATGTGTATTAATCATTCATGAATTCGGATTGACCTAAAAAGTAAAAATCGAAGATTGCGCGCGGCATTTGTTTGGTGTCCTTTATTTGTAAATATTATTTATTTATTGTTCTGTTCCTTCTCTTCAGATTACGATGGCCGATTATTATTTGGATCCGGGAATAAGCGTAAAACAGGAGCCGACCACAGAGAGCAGCAACAGTGTTGTTAATATATCGGCGAGCGTTCCGATCCCAGTGAAACGTCTGGATATGAACGATTACAGGGATTTGAGCTTCGATTTGGATAGTTCGCAGTCTCCCAACTTTCAGGACATCTTCGGAACCGGCAATGCTGGTACCTGCATGATGTGGAGCAATAAAATTACTGATATGGATATGAGTAAACCGGAGATCGTTCAGATGGACGATGAGGACATCTTCCAGGTGGATAGATCAGATATGATCGAAGGACCGACGCTTGCTGAGCTGAACGCTAACGCCGAAACTCTGCTCGCCGATCTGAATTTCGATGATCTGTTGCTACCGGAAGAGACATATTTCAACGCACTAAACGACAGTCAGATTAACCAAAGCAAATTCAATTCCTCATCGCCCTTCGCACCAATCAACAATAACAACAACACGCATTTCAACAACAACTCGAACCAATTTGCCACCTCGTGTCCTCAGCCCAGTGGATTGAATTTCTACAAGGATTACGAGAGCTACGATAGCTTCAATAAGAATGCAGCATTTTCCCCGGGCAGTTCAAATTCGTCTATTTTGTATCATACCGCTCCTTCTCCGGCGACTCCCCCGAATTCGTTGCGACAGAAGCACACTACCCTCCATGAACTTCTCAAGAAAGAGAATTATGTTTCTCCGGATCGTTCCGTTCCCGGCCCAAGCAGTCCAGTGATCAACCATGGAAGCCCCATGAAAATACAGCGTGGTGCAAACTCTCGACTGTCCACCTCAGCCCCAACCCATTTAGGGCTGGACCAGCTGTGGCAGATGAGGGAACCCAGGAAGCACCTCCTTTCGACGGGTTCCTTGGTAGAAGCGGGATCGACGTCTTCTCTTTCCACAGGAGGCGTCCTCAGCCCTGAAGCCCAAGATTTCAGTTATGATGAGTTCGACAGTGACGAAGACAGCGATCATTATGAAGACTTCTCTTCAGACAATGGTAAGAATCGTGACTGTATTTACGCTACTCGCTCCAGTTTCAATTGTAACTGGTCTTTCCCAGTTGCAATGATTCATGTGATTATATAATTGTTGAAATATTTTTTAAAATTATTATATAATGTATAATCAATCTTAGAAATTTGCTATGAATACGAGGAAAATATGTATGCAAAACCACTATTCTTATATTGTTACCAATATAAGATTTATTAAAGATATGTTTCTAAGAAATGTTATATGTGTTTACTGCATTCTCTATGTTTATTCTTATTTTTTCAACGCAATACCCTAAGAAGTGTGGCTGACATTTGAATGGAAGAAAAAAAAACGTTGTAAACAAAGCATTCACTTTTAATTGAAATATATCGAATTCCTCAAATTATTTACAATGCAAAAAAATATGAAAATGAGCTGACCATGAACAGCGTTTGTTTTTTAATTGGCATTTAAAAAAGATATGTACCGAGAGAATTGCCCTTGGATATTTGGCCTCAGATTTTATGAATATTTATTTGCTCTCTATAGGAGATTCGGACGATGACGATGAGCATGGCGGCACGACGAGAGGTTCATCGGCCAGCAAGAAGGAACGATTCTTCTGGCAGTACAACGTACAAGCCAAAGGACCCAAAGGACAACGGATGCTCCTGAAGACCAAGACGGAAAATCCTCACGTCCTCAACGAGATCACCGATCCCGTCTTCAGCCCTGATTGCGCGGTGCGCGGTATAAAGCACAGCGGGAAGGCGAGGAAAGGGGACGGCAACGATCTCACGCCGAATCCTAGGAAATTGTATAACATTGGGAAGGAATTGGATAAACTTGGTAAGGTCATCAACGACATGACACCGGTCAGCGAGCTGCCGTTCAACGTGCGACCGAAGACCAGGAAGGAGAAGAACAAATTGGCGTCGAGGGCTTGCAGACTCAAGAAGAAAGCTCAGCACGAAGCCAACAAGATCAAATTACAGGGACTCGAAACCGAACACAGTACGTTGAATAACAATAATAGCTCTATTTATCATTAACTTTAATACTTTTTTTTTTAGAAAAACTGATGAGCGGAATTAACCAGGCGAAACACGTGGTCGCCATCAAACTGAAGCAAGTTCAAAAGGAGAAACAGGAGGAGTTGAATGGCCAAATGGATAAAATTTACAAAGGCGCAACCAGTAAGTTTAAATCCCAATACAATATGCACAAGGTTTCTATCTAAATACTAACTCAATTAAAAGTAAAATTTCCCAGCTTCAATAATTTTAAAATATTGTATTAATTAAATTACTTCGAACATTTTAGAATTACTTCGTATATTTTATAAATTATATGTTGAAAAACAAATTTATAAATTAGATATAGTTAGGTTCTTCAACAATGCGCATTGAGTGACTTTGTGCAATGGTAAACATGTTGCTTTAACAATTCGTCTCTGTTCTGCTTCAATTTGATACAAGGAAGTGATCATCTGTGGTATTTCCACGCGGAGCGTCCATACAATGTTACAACATTTATTAGTAAACAAATAAGATCATCAATGAAATTGCTATCTGCGACACACGTTGCTTAACGTTCATAAGCGGTTATGAATTAAGTATGCGATGAACGACGATTTTGTTAACTATGTTTTAATTTTCAGTGCTGTGGAAGTATATGATTTCAATATCAGAATATTATCGTTATAATAAATCTTTAATATTCTTTGAAACATTTCTTAAAATATCAATTTTACTGTAGTCAACAAATGTGTTTGGTAAAGACTGCAGAAACAATTAAAGATATTTTAAGAATACAAGGTTAATATGGCAGTGGGTTGCACAGGAAAAATGGAACAATTTATTAGTTTACACGAGTTTTCAAATTATTTTATATATAATATGCCGCAATTGTTGTGGAAGATCAATACTTGGCTGAAATTTATACTGGATAGGTTCTGCTTCGGCATTAAAAAATCGTTAACTTTATTATAGTGCAAATTTCATGATAATTTGACTGAAATACATTTCCTGTGAAGAAACCTTTATTGCTATGATGATACTGAGTCCTAAAATGTAAAATTTTATTATTTCCAGAAACTAGGATTGCTGGACAAACCACCGAGTATGTGAACAAGATGCTCGAAAAGGTCAAAAGCGGAGGGATACAGATAACGATGGACGACTACATGTAGTCCATATTTCCAAGAAGAAGTAAAAATAAAAACCTCAACGGTGCGGCAAGAATCTCCTCTACAAAGAATTTCGTACTTCAGATAAGTTAAGAGTGGAAGGGAGAAGAAAGGAAACAAACAAAGAACAAGAATTTCAGCCAATATTCTTATTTTCTATTTATCAGCTCGTACACGAATGTGATTGGATGTGATAAAATAATTTAAAAAAAGAAACATAATAATAATAATATTTAACTAACCGGTTTTTTCTGTATTTTCAATTTTAAGTTGGCAATTCTGTTTAAATGTAATTTAATTAATTAACCAAATTTAGCTTTAAGACTAATTACTAGATAGTTGTTAAGTTTACCGTTCGAAAGTAATATGTTTTAAAGGAAATATGATGATAGGAATTTACCTCGATTTATTTCAGCGAAAACCGCAGTTAGATGTTGACTCCGACGATGAAACACTTCACTGACATTTCGTACCAACCGACGTTTTCGAACTAGTTTTTTTTTATGATCATTTTGTTTATTTAAAAAACAAACAAATTGATGATTGAGGGAAAAAACGGAATTGCCAACGGTTACATAGCTTTGGCTGTAGGGTAATTAATTAAACGATAATTATGTAATAACCGTTGATCGATTTAACTTTAAACAATATTTATTTAAATTATATATAAGGTAATTTGATTAGAATGTTTGTACATTTTATTTTGTTAATAATTTATATTACTATTATTATTTATAGTTCCTATTAGAATTTATTTGTTTCGTTTCTTGTTTTTGTTTTTATTTTCTCTATCTTATTAAGTTTTCTTTTTTAATTAGCGCCAATTTCAAATTCGCACTTTTGTTACTACCAGGGGACACGCAATTGTTTTTTTTTTGAAATTTTATTATTGTTACGTGCTTTTTCGTTTTGGCACAGTCCCCGCGAAATTTAAATGAAAATAGTCGGAAAACACACGTTTCCTTTTTATACTTTACTCTTCTAATTCTGTGTTAACCATGACAATTATGTAATTCGCATTTATTGAGACATTTAAAAATAAAACAGGTCACTACACGTGCGCGCAAAACAACTTGCGTACAGTCGCGAACAACTGACTTGTTTTGGTAGCAACGGAAGTTATGAAAAACAAATGCTTAACTCTAATCAACAGAAAATTGATAAACGAGCGAAATGACCATTTTTTTTTCAATAGTTGGTATAACTGTTACGAAATTTTTGCAAATTGAATGCTTTCGTAGTTTCCTTATAACTTATTATTTAAACTCTTACAATTCAAATACAAAGAAAACGACTGCAGGGATAACAAACATGGATATCATTAATATGGAAGTGAATGGACAAAACAAAAGACGTTTATTTATGTGTCTAATTTTTTTTGTTTAGTTTTTTTTTTAAGTTAACTTAATTGATTAAGTGTGTCGTATTTTACTTGGCGTATTTTTAGCGTAAGGAAGTTTAGGTTTAAAAGAAAAGGGTTTCACTCAAAGTGCATTTCTACATATTATTAAATCTGAAAACAAACGAAAAAAAAAAGTTTAGATACAAACAAACAAAAAATCGTGATAACTGGAATTTGTTGTGTTCAATGTTGTGATAAACAAATTTCTATTTTTTTTTATTATATAAATCAACAGAAATGATAAGAAATGCTTAAGATGGAACGGCGTTCTTTTTTTGTTATAATTTGTTTTTCTGCACAGGTTTGAGCTCAACGCTGTTATTAATAATTTTTTTTTCTGTACATAGTTTATTTTTTTCTGGTGTCCAATATGATGTCATTTGATTTATTTTATTTTTATTTTCTATAAAATAGGATTGGCTGTGTTTTATTATTTTTAATGTTTTTTTATTATTTTTTTGGTTTATGAGCCAAGTAAAATACTTTAATTTCTTTCATTTTTGAATAATGTTGAGGATTTTCGTAGCATTTCGGAGGATGCAATTGGTATCATTTATGCAGAGAATGTTGTATTTGGTATTGTTGTTTTTCTTTGCTATGTTTATCTTTAACTTGTTCTAAATTGTCAGATCAATGGTTTACGTGTAAAACATGTTTTATCTAATTACTTAGTAAGTAAGCATATACATATATATATATTTATAGATATCGTATTTCTATTTTTTAATACAATTAATCTACTAAGATGTTACATATATATTTGCATGAAAGAAGTTATAGTTATTATCGTAGTTAATGTAGTAAACCCAAAGTTTATATGTATATGATAAGTTAAGAAACTGTTAAATTTGTATATTTTATATTGTAATTGGTTGGGATTTCGAGGCGGATGATTCCGTTTACTGCTGCGAGGAGGGATTGAGAATCGTGCGCCGAGAATTTAAACTTAAATTCTTATCCAAAATTTATATTTTATATTAAGTAAATCTGTTCATTGTTAATACATGAATGTACTATTAAACAAAATAAATACTGTACCTGGAGCATATCATTCTTGTTTATATATTGGGTGAAGTAAAAAGTTCTGAGCTTTTTTTCCTCTTTATTTCGACGAAGAAATTAACAAAGTTAGAATTTTTGGAATTTAGATCAAATATGCACCGCTTTGTTCGATAACTTTAGTCCATTTTGAAGGCAATTTCATAATTTTGCGATTGAAGAAATCCTCGTCTCTATTGGTAAAAAACTTGAAAAGCTCATTTTCACAAGCCTCTCTTGAGGCCAGTTTTTTACCATCAAGAAAATTTTGCAAGCTCTCGGAGCTTCTGGCGCGTCTTTAAATATGTGTACGGCCTGGCGATGTCTTGAAGGAACACAACACCCGTCACCACTCAGTCACCATCCGCATCGAAAATGGGTTGATTTCGTTACGTTTCACCAAAGAATCGCAGGCATCAATTCACTCCAAAAGATTTTTTGCGTCAATTCATGTGGTACTCATACATCGAGCTTCTTCTTGAGATCAGTCTTATGCAAATGGTTTCAAACGGTTTTCTGGATAATCTTCAGTTCCTGGACAATGGAATAAGGGCTCGCATGCCGGTCGGACTCGACGATTTCCATCATTTTATCAACATTTTCGACGATTGGCCTATCAAAGCATGTCTCATCATCGACGTCCAGAATGGAAGCATTGGAACCAACGCTTTGCTGTTGTATTTGATACTGTATTGGCAACACAATTTTTTTTAGCCGCCTGCTCCGCTTTTTCCCCTTGGTCGTCGTGTTACTGAAGAATGTATCGAATTTTCTGTTTTTTACCTCCATTTTGGAACGCTCTAACACACAACTGGATTCACTAACCACAAAACAGGCAAAGAACTTCTTTAAAGCGTTATGTCGTCTTTAAGTCGCATTATATAATGACAAGATGCAACTTATACATCGTGAGATATGGCTCACTAAAGCCATGTAACGAAATATTTCCTTTAATTTATAATGTACAATGTTTATAAATTTAGAGACGCAAAAGAGTTAATTTGTTACCAGCACATTGAAATTAATATTTATTAAAATAAATGACAACAATAATTTCGTGTATTTAGTTGGTAATCCTGAAATCTTTTAGTTTTCTACAATAAACAATATGTTGCTATAACAACTGAGACAATGATTGGACTGCTCTTGTTTTACAAGATGAAATATTAGTAGACTTTGAAAATGTCTTAGTATAGAAATTCAAAATTATTGTAAACAAGTTTTACTCATTATAATTCGTACTTACGTGGAATTCTAATCTTGTAATTCTAGTGAACGTGCCATTTTTTTTATCCAAATATAGTAATTCAACTAACAAGTATGACTAAAACAACAAAAAATGTGACAATGTGTTGAAAGGTTAAACAATATCTGAAATGTATGTAGGTTTTCAAATTTTAATAACAACTGAAAAAGTCACTTAAATTTTTAAATTTAGGACAAGCAACAGACAACTTTTTTGAGTAAAGTAGGACCTCGCTTAACGAGCAAAATGAATTGTAAGGAAAATGAACCGCTTAACGAGTGACGTTTCGCATAACGAGTGACGATGAGAAGAGAAGTCCCGGAATGAACGCCTGCTACATCATTTTGAAAACTTGTGTACACATATGTGTATTTTTGAATATGTTTCACTATACGAGTAAATATCCGGAAATTTTGTATTAAACTCGTTAAGCGAGGTTCCACAGTACTTGTTTTTGTTATTGACGTTGATGTATTATTTATAGATCTAATGATTTATTTATTTTGTAGATGAATTTAAATGTTATGATACTCACGATTTTATTGTGATTGTACTATTAAATGGTTTCTCTTTTTATTAGACTTTTCTTTCTGATGCAAACAAATATCAGTCAGCACTCTTCAGTTTCTTCAACAATTGGTATTTGCAGTATAACTTAACGGAAATTTCAAAAGAATTCATACGTTTTTGTCTTTGCCCCTTTGCCTGGTCGCCCATTCAAACATATTCGTCTAAAACAGAGGTGTCCAAACCCGGCCCGGCAGGCGATTTTATCCGGCCCGCCAAGTATATATGTGAATTAAAAAACCTTATTATAAGCAGCATTGAATTTTATTTTTTTATAGTAAATTACAGATATAACAATACTA